TACACGAGGCCCCGAGCCAAAACTGTGACCCTCAAAAAAAACGCTCCACGGCTCTGTTGTCCCTTCTCCCTTTCTTCCTGCATTGCCAAAGCCTCTTCCTTTAAACCCGAAAACAACCTTAAACCCGGAACCTTAAACCCTTTTGCTGCAGGCTTGCAAGCAAGAACGCCTGTTAGTTGGCCACTCAGCCGAAACCCTAAACCCTAAAATCCCTAAAAGCAGAGGACCCCTGATCTAATGCAAGGCCTGGGTTTGAGGTCTTGAAGCAAAGCCAAAGCCGGCTTCCACGAGCTCTTCTTCTCCTTGGGGGGTTTTGGGGTGTTAGGGGGGCCGTTTTGAGGGTTTTGAGAACTTCTTTTTATTTTCCTCGAAGCTTTCAAGGATTTTCGAGGGTGTCGGATTCTACAAGCAGGGATTCGGGCCGTTTAGGCCTTCAGGGTTGGGTTTGAGATTTGCGGGATTAGGGCCGTTTCTATAGACTCGCACGCTCGCACAAGGCAGGCCCGATTCCAAGCGACCCGAATTCAAGTGGGTGGTTGTCAAAATTATGGTCCCTTGATGGGTCCTTATTATAATACGGCACCTTTGTATTTAGGGTACCCCAAAAGGGACCATAATTTTGACAGCTACCCAAGTGACTGGGTGCAGAGGGTCGGACACAAGCGGCCGCTGCTGCATTCATGGTCGTAACCTCACGCTCGCTGCGAGGGATCTCGCTGGTACTCCATGATAGGTGCCGCAATAAACAACGGTAATACGGTATAACGATAAAGAGGACACAAGGAATAGCACTACTAATTGCGTATTCCTCTGTAATTCTATATTCTATATCAAACGACACGCTAAGCCGAGACTGAGTGAGTTACAGAATCACTGCAAGAATCTGAGGCTGAAGCACTAGGCTGCACAGTCTGGCAACCCATCTCCGACCTCGCCAGTCTCAAAGCCATTGCGCATGGAAAAGGAATTGAAAAGCAGTCTGCCACCTGACATGAAACAAGGCCAGGGCAGCAAGCCTGCAGCACCCTCCCAGTTTGCACGCCTCAGGGGGAACACTCGTCTCTCCTCACTCTTGTCTCTCTAGCCGGTCTCCAGGTTGCTGACTTCTCAAAGGCACTCACCCCTGCACCTCAGGGGCCAAAGGCAGTGCCACGAGCGTGTGCAGCAACTGGGTCTTCGAACTGAGATCGCAGCTGAAAGCTATCAAGCCAGGCAGCACACCTGCCACGCTCGAAGGTCAACAGCGAGCGCGCACCGAGAACGAGGCGTACCAATGATGGCGAACGGACTTTCTTGATATCGAAGGCGTCACAGGGTCCATGGTGAGCAAACCCTTTGTTGTGTAGTTGCCGCCTTTCCAAATGCTATACTGTCTTGGCACCCTGCGACTGCATGTGCGGCAGAATCAACAAAGGCTTGCAGCAACGTCAGCAACGCTTCGAGTTTGTGGGAGCATATATAGATCAGTCAGGATTCACGGAACAGAACGCCTAAGAGCCCAGCCACTAGTTACACCCGAAGCGCTGCAAGATCCGACTCCAGATTGCAGTGAGCGAGGCTGATACGAGAATCGCTTTGTACTCCGACCCCTATAAAGAGAAACTTCGGACACTTCGGATGCAAAGGTCTGCACTTTGGTACTCCTGCTTTGGGCAGCCTGTCTTCCTGCTGCAAGGATCTTCCGCCACTTTCCGTCTGTCAGACCCGCACCACGCAGCATGGGGCCTGCCCGTGGCATCTGCGACAGCCTCAGGAGGAGACCAAGCTTAAGGATTGCGCAGGCTCATGCACGAAAGTTTACTCGAAAGTCTGAAGCGTTTCAGAGCCGACCGAAGCTTGAGGCCGGTAGAAGCTGCAGGTCGTACAGGATTTATTCAGGGCCGATTTGAAGGCGGTCGCGGTGCTCACAGACAGATTGCGGCGATAAAATGCACCAAAGCAGCCCGCGAACAATCTATGCCACTGAACCTGCCCATGACCGCCTACTACCATCCCCCCAGTTGATGTAAGCCCCCTACAGCGCCAGAAATCTACGATTCCGAAACAAGGTTGGGGATTCGAAGGCTCGGCGTGCTTGAAGTCAAACTTAGGATTTCAGCTCACATAGTCCCGTGCCCCAAATGCAACCCGTCCTAGTCGAAGGGAAGCGGATGTGGCCGATAATTCTCGGTCAGGCTGCAAGTAGACTGCCCAGGACCATCGATGCGACTTCTCGCAGGTCGTCATCGAAACACCTCAGCGGGATGACAACATGGCTTGCTTGGATGATCTTGGATGATAAAAGTGCTGAGTGCCAACTGCCGCCCTCCGTGCGCAAAGGCGCCCTTATCGCTTTTCTCCGTGCGGCTGTGATCTCAGGCATGCCTCCATAGCCGAGCTCGTTTAACGAGGCCACAGCTGCATAGCAGCGGCTATTCACGTTATGTCGTCGTCCGACAAAGGACTGAAGCCGAAGACCTTCTGGAGCGCTTCCCGGAGCTGCGCTGTAGAGAGGGAGTCGGTTGCTTGGTAGGAGAGTACGTTAACGCAGCAGCTGCACTCGGCCTGTAGGGCCAGCAGAACACGGCGGCAGGCTCTGGGCCCGAAGGTCTCGTAGCGCAGCCCGGCAGCTGCGGCCAACGATCGCAAGGATCGACGCGTCGGGGCATCCAAGGTCCCAGGCAAGAGCAACCGCTCGTAGCCCATCTCCGAAGGCTCCGCTGTGCGCACAATGCCATGCCAAGTGAACGGCTGGAGGCCGTGCGCTCGGCCGCCGAAAGCAGACGAAAGTCCCAAAGAGCGTCTCATCTCAAGGTGCGAAAGATTCCGTGCAGCTCTACCTAAATCATCCTATATCATTGTTTCCGTACGGTCATACATTGGCAGCACCGGGTACCTGTACAGGGACGAGAAATGAGAACGACTGCGCCTAACATAGTACTCGTGGCTATGTAGTGGGAAGCGAAACAGCAGATATCTTTGCAACAGAGCAAGGCAACGATCGTCAACATTCTTCGTAGGAGCTGGACAAGCCATCATCGACGGTGTTGACGTTTGCTGAAATGTGGAGAATCACAGCAGTCCTGCAGACACAGACAGGCTGACGCTGTCCTTTTTCATCATGCCTCCACAGCTCCGGTGTATCCATACACGGCTTCCTGCTCCTGTCTTCTTGAGGAAACAGGATCTAACCAGCGGTCTCCATCGCAGCTGCCGTTCTCTGTGTGCGAGCAAACAGTACATGTACGCTTCTCGATTCATGCCATGTGTGCACACAGTCACGCAAGATAATGGTCATATACATACAGTTATACATACATTTGACAACATACCAGATGCTGCGCGCATTCGCGCACCGCGCAAAAACGCGCAACCACGTCTGTTGACTCAGGCTTGCAATGATGTCCGAAGCAATTAACAGATTGTAAGACGAACCCGCGCACGCAAGCATAGAAGAACCATTCATTTAAGACTGTCGTTCTGTCGTGGTATGGTTGTGTGGGGCTACCTGGAATAGGGAGGGGACGGGAGGAAAGGAGGGAGAGAGCGAGTCTGCGCGAGAGAAGGCGAGAGAGAGCAAGAGAGAGGCAGATCAACAAACACAGGGAAAACAAAAATGCTTCCACATGCACCTAAGCGGATATGGTCCAGATGGGCTCTGAACTTTCGCCGAATACGGGTCTGCACTCAAGCGGGTCTCCGAAGGTAGCTGCTTTGGAAAAAGGAACTTCAAAGGGAAACAGTCGCATTGAGCAACAGGCCGTTTTTCGGCCCCGTACATGCTTGAAAGCAGCCTGCGGGCTTCGTGTGCTTTCACAGGCTTTGAGCGCTTCTGCCTTTCTTGGGCTTCAGGGGGTAACTGACACGAGGCCTCATTCCAAGAGAGCACTCTCTCGGCTAAGAAGGGGGCATCAAGTGCTTCAAACCCCGAGTCGAATGGGCTACGGAGGCAAGACCCCTCCACTCTTTAAGATAAGTGAGCGTCGGGGTTCGGAGCCTTGTGCTAAGTCTGAAGAATGCGATTTGGCTAAGTTTGCCGTGTGTTATGTCTCTCAGAAACCTACTCCGCAATCTGCTGCGGCAGACCCTCCAAAAGGAGAAGTTCTGCCACGGCTCGCTGAAGAAGTGCCCCGGAGAGGGCGTATGTTGCAGCACAGGTGCCGAGCAAGCCTGTGAAATGGAATGGGTCTTGGGTGTAGCTCGGCTTGAGGGTTTCAACGACACCGAAACACTTCCAGGAGAGACAGGACTAAGTTTTCTGCTCGGATCGTCAGAATTGAAATGAGCATGCTGCTCTTCAGGATTGAAGACTCATAGCAGGTGAGAGGCTGCTGTTGGCTTCGGGAAGCTCTTGTGCCGCAGAAGGAGTTCTTGGGGTGTACTCAGCGCATCCTTTCTGACCTCCCTAGCCCGAGGGCCCTTAGCAGTGGCGGCCTCTGGATCAGAGCCCTACTATAAGGGTGCTAAGTAAGTACCGATATTCTTTCGGGATTACTTATTTATCCCGATCGTTTAATTCATGTACTTCAAAACCCTAGCGTATCCATGCTAATTATTACCCTAAGGGTCCATGTACCCAAATAGGATACTTTAAGGCCAAAGTATATACTATTTGGGCACACGGACCCTTAGGGTTAAGGCGACTCGATTATGCAGGATCCCTGCGCGGCCTGCCAGCAGCCAGCATCCACGTCGGAGCAGGGCCCAGGAATAGCCCGTAGCCTGCCATTTATGCATCTTCCATCATCTTCCACTTCAGTCTCCTAGGATTCGGACGAGGGACTTGTGGCGTCTTCAAATTTCGTGTCCGTAAGAATAGGATTGCAGACTCTCAACCGTGGTTCTTCCTCCCGCCGGCTAGGACGAACGGGCTTCGCAAGGTGGTAGGTTCGATTCTGAAATAGAACAGCTTGCAGCTCAGTGAGATCACGATGCGATACATCTCTTGAGCCGTAACCCGAAGCCCTGACTTGCACTGTACGTTCAGTTTCCGCTGATGTTGCTGAACTCATGCGCCGACCACTTCGATTTCGAGCTAAGCCCTAAATCCTCAACTCGAAGCCCTAAACCCTAAACCCTAAACCCGAAGCCCTAAACCTGAAGCCCACCCAAAGCCTTCGCTAGCCGCCGCGCTCCACGGAGATTTCCAAGCAAGAGAGCGGCCCAGACCTTGAATTACTGATTAGTTATAACTAAACTATATGTAATTTAGAACTATGGTTATAAGTTAGAACTAAACTATATGTAATTTAGAACTATGGTTATAAGTTATGAAATTATTGAATAGTTACCTATAGTCTCCATTGTAGTTTCTCTTTTTGGGTTAACCAACTATATATTAAGGATTTTATAAGGTATCCCCAAAAAGGAACTACAATGGAAACTACAGGTATAACTAAACTATGTAATTTAGAACTATGGTTATAAGTTATAGCTAAACTATATATGTGAGACGTCATTCTAGAGTTGGTCATAACTAAACTGTATATGTAGTTTTAGAATTAGTTCTAACTAAACGATATATGTAACTTTAGAACTAGTTATACCTAAACTATATTCGTAATTTTAGAATTAAATATAAATAAACTATGTATGTAATCTTCGAACTAGTTCTAACTAAACTATACATTGACATGTAATTTTATGATTGCATACCAATTTCTGTCACACTGCCTTTAGCTCTGTGATATTCTGTTTTCAACTCGATGGACTGCTACTAAACTCTGTGAAACTCTAAGGAGTCGGAATAGTGATCTTTGTTGACCAGCGCACCACTCTTGAAGCTGCGACCTCATTGCGCTGGTCGGACTTCAGGCTTTTGATACCAGATCTTGGGCACTGGCAAGTTGTTCTCTGTGGGTAGTTCTTTAATTTAGGGCGTCTAATGTAGAGAATTGCCCATATTGGGAGAGGAACTGCCTCTACTCGTGGAAACCCCATGGGTTCTAGAGCAGTCTTCCCCCAGACCCTTAACCCTGAGCTCGAGCCCCCAGACATCGTCCGGATTCACTGTCGCCCCGCCGGAGATCAATCGCCCCATCACCTTCCAAAAGTCAGGATTTTGGGACAAGTACAGACAGAAACAAGTATGTAGTATTTTCGCGGGTCTGGCACATATGCACCTAAGAGCGACAATAGACCACAATTAAGAAAGTGTGACATTCATTCTGTGTGTCGTATAGGAAGCAATCAATTACTGCAGGACTACGAGCATGTAGTAGCGAGAAATACCTCACGAAAAACCACACGTGTGCGACAACTAGGCGTGCTTTAATGCTCTACGGTTGCCGCCGTAAAGTTGGAAAATGCGCATCCCACTTCTCCAGCACCGCATAGACTGGATAAACCAATCTACCAACTTCGAGCGTTTGATTCCTCCAACTTCAAAAACCTGCCAACTTTGGCGCTTGGTCTCGTCTAGTCTCGTTTATTTGGGGGAAGTCTCAGTCATGGCGTCTGCAGAACGCAAACGTGGAAGACTCGGGCTTGAGGATGTCAAGTAGCATCCGGCATGGCTCTCCCATCCTGGATCTCATGAGACGGTTTAGGGTTTACCTGGACCCTGAATAACCTACCTTTTTAGGGCTCCTTAATATGATTTCTTTATATAAGTCTTCAAAAAGGTAGGTTATTTGGGGTTAGGGTTTAGGGTTTAGGGCAGCCACCACTCACCGCAATTCCCTGCCACCCACAACCTGTAAACCTCGAAACAAAAACTAAGTCAGCCCAGGACCCCAGCCTCAGTGTGGCCATTGAGCACAGCGGCCCGCATCGGTGACGGACCCCGAATAGACACGGAGTGGTTGGGATTGGCATTGCCTTCCGAGGGCTTTTTTCCCACCCGCCCAGGGCTTAGAGTTTAGGGTTTAGGGTCTAGGGTTTATAGGGTTTGTGTCTGAGACGCGACTATGCGCGAATGTCCTGAGGGCTACATGTGTCTCGGACAGATGATCATCTTATATACTTGGTGGCGGTACAAAAAGCTATCGCAACACGAGAGCGCCGAAAGTCCCCAAGACAGGATGAGGGTGCGTGGAGGATTTCCGGATAAAAGCTCTTTCATCTGGATCCGTGAACCTCGCACGTAGTTCTCTTTACCCCACCCTTGCTTTGCAACAGAGCTCGTTGTCCCACCCTTTTTTGCAGCAGGCTCTCTCGCCCGGAACTAAACCCTAAACCCACCCTTTTCAACGGCCCTTTTTCGAACCGGCCTGAAAGCAGCCGGCCCACGGCTTCCTCATGGCCGCTGCGAACGGCAGCATAGAGCGGCGAGGAGGCGGCCGGTGGTACGTCCGCGTGGGCCTCACACGGAGGATTAGGGTTTAGGGTTTAGGGTTTGATGGTTTAGACTCTCGCAACTCGGGCAATGCGGCGAGGTTTGTTTTTAGACTCTCGTAACTTTATGAGGATTAGGGTGTAGCCAGGAGAACCCGAGCAACCCTCAAGTGAGGCATGTTCGCGAAATTCTACAAGCTTTCCCTATTATGTCCTTAATTTCGGGGCATTGGGCTTCCGAAGACTATTACTAAGTACGCATTCAGATCAAAGTGGCCTAGATTAGCACATAAGCGGGAGGAGGGAGACAGTTTGTCGGGTTGAAACACGAAGCCCCGATCTAGTATAGCAAACACGAAGCCGAACAGAGAGGTCCTAAACCCTCGAACGAGAAGGACCCTAAACCCTAAACCCTAAACCGTAAGCTCGCCTGAGTTCGGCCTTGCACTCTGACGCCTCCCCGATGGGTGATGGAAACTCGGGCCGGGACTTGCAGATACCAGGGACTGGGCTCCTACCTGTAATCTCCATTGTAGCTCCTTTTTTTGGTTTAACCTATTATATATTAAGGATTTTATAAGGTATCCCCAAAAAGGAACTACAATGGAGACTGTAGGTAGATCTTAAGGAACTTCAGTTAAGTTCAATGATCCAACAGATGCCTCTGTTGGCGATACCTGATGAAACTAAGCTCCTTCAGAAGACACCAGATGATGCAAAGCCGTACACTGTACACTAGTTCCGGCAACGAATTGGGCTTGGGCAGCTCTAGACTACGATGATGCATATAAAGGAAACCTGTTGGGAGGCGTGGGAAGAGTACGCGTATCACTTATCATCCAGGCATTTCAGTTCCCCGTCCCAGGTGCACTGCACAGAGAGCTCAGAGGAACACGTTGATGTTTTGCCAGCTGGGACTCGCTGGAGTGATCGCTTCCAGCACTATGCAGGCAGCTTTCCTTCATGCAGCGAGCGCACACAGATGCTGTACAGACACGATCCTACTGTTAAATGGGAAGAAGAGCCTTGGAAACTCAGATTCTGCGAAAGAGCGTGAGTTTGCACAGCTGCCTTCGAGGAATCCATGCCGATTGCCAGCAAACACTCAGAAAACACGTTTGGTGGGGATTGAGCTGATTTGCATCTTAAGTCTGTTAGCACTCGCACTCGACTAGGTCAGGCGAGGCTACGGGCAACTATGGCATCTCAAGTTGTTCTCTGCAGCCCCGACTTGCGCAGCATTCCGGTACCACGGTTACAGTGGTCACGGGTTTGGATCGAATTTTGCCATATTTCGAATCAGTTTGGCGCACAGGAAAAAGCGCTTACCTTTCGGCCTGGAGAGTGGCGCAAAGATGCAGAAAAGCGTCTCCTCCCTGGCCTTTCTGACTTTCGGGAATTATGGCGTTTGAACCATGATGCCTCGAGCCTTCACACTCAGAGTACTCAGTTCTACCAGTAATGGTTTCCTTTGCATTATAGCAATACAATAATCACAAGAACAATGAGTGAGAATACACATTATTAAAGTACCAGTTTCTTGAACCCAGCATGGACCGAGGCATCAGCCGTCAAGGCAAGCGCTCGTGCGCAGCACAGAGCAATCAGATACGGCAGCATGAAGAATCCGAGCTCGGAGCATCAGACGGGATGCAGCTGACTCAGAGAGATTCACGACATCATCTTCGATGGCCAAGACTGTCTGGTGCTTAGTAGGGAATGTGGGAATAAGTTATAGGGACTGCTATAAGGGACCTTAAATGACTATCATAGGGATCCATTCCCCCATTCCCTACGAAGCACCAGACAGAAGAAGATGGACCCTGCGAAAAAACCTCAGACTGGAAGCTGAGAATAGCGACCTGATAACAAGGGTTTAGGGTTTAGGGTGAAAACAGGAGTGCTCAAGAATGCCTCACTGCGTTTCTATCCCTGGCAACTGGCCGTAGAAACTTCGAAGGAGGCAATGGGTCCTTGAGACACTTTGAGAAGCCCAAAGAACTTTACTCCACCCTTGCTCGATAGCAGCATGCATACTTCCGTCTAGTGCCAGTAATATGACAAAGAAGGGCTCGGCACTGCCTTCGAACCAATTTTCCCTGAAGCCGCTCTTGGCTATTGGCTAGAGTCGGAATCAGCTCACCTCGCCAGACTGCAGGCTCTGTGAGCCAGAGCATTGCGAGGTCCGGGCCTGTGGGTATAAGCTTGGGCCCATTTGGGACCTCCGCTTCGGGCGGGCAGGAGTTGGTTCATGCAGCTGTGGCTGGCTTCTCATGGGCTCCAGTGGAATAGAAGCCTCTGCCTCTGCTGCACACGAATCCGAGCTCATTTGGGACCTCCGCTTCGGGCGGGCAGGAGTTGGTTCATGCAGCTGTGGCTGGCTTCTCATGGGCTCCAGTGGAATAGAAGCCTCTGCCTCTGCTGCACACGAATCCGAGCTCATTTGTGACCTTTGCTTCGGGTGGACAGGAGTTGGTTCATGCAGCTGTGGCTGGCTTCTCATGGGCTCCAGTGGAATAGAAGCCTCTGCCTCTGCTGCACACGAATCCGAGCTCATTTGCGACTTTCGCTTCGGATGAGGAGTTGCTTCAGGCGGTGGTGTCTCTCTGTTCATGGGCTCGAGCGGAATGGATGCCTCTGCGGCTGTGCGCAGTGGCACAGGTTGCGAATGTGGCCCCTTTTCTTCACTTGCCAACATCTTCTCCAAGAATGAAACGCCAATAATCACATCCTTGCTGCCTTCAGGTCCATTGCTCTCCGGTATGGTGTCTGGCCGCTCGGCTTCGTCTCCTTTAGTCGTCACCTGCACGAACACTTCACATGGAGAGCTCGTTCCAGCCGCAAACAGTGGTACTGAGCCGCTATAGCCAGTAGCGACATCACCACCCGAAATGACGGCATGGAGAGTGCGCGCAGACATCCTCTGAATCTCGTCTAGAACAACTGTGAACAGCAGGGTCTGGCTCTTCGCTACGAGGATGGCTTCCATGGAGCTAAACCTGCTCACAGAATCCCTCTTCAACTCGACAGCACTAGCATGATCGCCGAAGACTTCTGCGACAACAGTGACAAAAAGACCCGAGTCCAACTTCAGAGCTGTCTGAAGATCTTGTAGTGGAACTTCAAAACTTGCAATAGAGACGTCGAAAAGGTCCTCCTGTTCCCAGTCTAACAGATCTAGATCATCAGCTCTGACGAGAAGGCAAGCTCCAAACAGCACCGTCATCAGCCCGGGGGTGATAAGCAATGTGGTCAGCAGGTCGCTGAGTGAGGATATCAAGAATTTCTCACCGTCCGCGGGACCAACACTAGCAAGGAATATACTGACAACCATTGCGCAGAACACGGTGTGGATCGCCATGTAACCCCAGAAGATATTGGCCCGCATGGTGCTGGTGCCATCTCTGCCACGGTGCAACACAGAGAGTAGCACGACAAAGGGCAATGAGCCGAATGTAGCCGAGATCCATGCAACCACAGCGCTACTGACAATCTTATCCAGCAGGGCCTCCGGAGGAGCGCAGTCGGGTTGACCAGGAGCTAGGGACGTTGAGCCGTAGAAGACTGCCATTACTGCCCAGCCACTATACAGCTTGGCAAGAAGCACGCTGCAACGCTGGGCACAGCTAGCCTTCAACGAAGGGGTGACAAAGCTGAACCAACGACAGTGCAACTCATATAGCATTCGCAGCTTGAAGAGGAATCTCCGCTCTGAGAGGTGTGATAGAAGGAAGCTTGCTTCATGATGCCATGCTGTTACACCGCTCACTTCTTGCAGTCGGCGTAACTCATCGACACCCAATCCTATCCTCCTCTTTACGAGTTCGCTGGCAACGCGCCTGGCTGGATGAAAGCTTCCAAGGAAGTGCTCCTTCAAGTCCGCTACGAAGTCCTTGCGCGAGGGACGAGCCTCTAGCAAGATCTCCATGTGTTGAAATTCCTCCAACGCATTCACCTGCTCCATGTATCGCTGGTCTAGGCGTCTGGCTACCAGGAGCAGGCAAAGCCCAGCCAAAAGCGTGAACCACTGAACCAGTGCCGGAGCTTGCACGGCCCACTGCCAGCGCAGTAGAGACTGAAGGCCATCCAGAGAGAGAATGGCGGCAGCATTGCTGCATACCAAAGTGGTCAAAACGGCTTTTGCGATCGCAGCAAAAAGTGAGAGGTGAGTAGTGGTGCATCGCACACTGCCATCAGCATTGGCTATTACAGTCGTTACGCCCTCACTCGACCATGCATCCTGTTCCTCGTCCCAGTACACACATGCCAAGTCACTAGCATTGGCATCTGTAATCGGAATTGTGAAGTTGAGAGGTGCGGGCAGCATTCCCTTGATCCCGTGCTCCCACAGACTTATCTTGATACTGATGGGTTGCGTGGCCAAAACATTTCCAGAGGCCCGTGTAGAAGCACTGAGGGTCTCAGTAATCTCGTCCCGTGGCATAGAATCGCTTGAGCTAGCCACTGCGAACTCCGGGTGGGCCTCCGACGTGAACAGTGCCGTTGGCCCATCCACGCGAGACTTTCCAGCAGACACTTGGACTGAGCCTGCCGCTCTTTCGCTGGGCCCGATTCGTAGAAGACTGGTGTGGATCGACGTCCCCACGTTGCGGGTCACGCTTTGTAGCATGCCGTACGATTCTGGATTGGACAAGTTCCCGTCGTTTGAGCCCGAGTCCAACAACCGAAACAGCTGCATGGTGTCCTCTATCTGGTTTGCTTCCAGGTCTCCCACCAACTGGTTCGAGAGGGCTGCCAAAACGGCTGCGTCTCCGGAGGTAACAGTGACAGTCGTCATCGTAGTGGTTGACATGGTCGTCGACGACTTTGACGTTGAGCTGCTGCTCCATGTCGAGGTAGCAGACGCGCGGGATGATGATATGCTGCTGCCGGATGTTGATGTGGTACTTGATGCTGTAGCTGAACTTGAAGTTGAAGTGGTCGTTATGGTGGTGACCGACGTGGTCATCGTTGTGGATGACATCGTGGTCGACAAAGTTGATGTGGAGGTGGTGCTGTACGAAGATGATGTGGCATGCGAAGTTGATGTTGATGTGCTGCTGCTGGATGTCGAGGTAGAAGATGCACTGGATGTTGACGTGCTGCTGGCGGATGTTGATGTGGTACGTGACGCTGAAGTTGAACTTGACGTTGATGATGAGGTGGTTGTTGTCGAGACCGATGTGGTGATGGTTTTGGATGACATGGTGGTCAACAAACTTGATGTGGAGGTGCTGCTGGCCGATGATGATGTCGTACTCGAGGTTGATATTGATGTGCTGCTGCTGGATGTCGAAGTAGCCGAAGCACTGGAAGTTGATGTGCTGCTGGCGGGTGCAAGTGTGGCACTTGACGCTGTAGCTGAACTTGAAGTTGAAGTGGTCGTTATGGTGGTGACCGACGTGGTCATCGTTGTGGATGACATCGTGGTCGACAAAGTTGATGTGGAGGTGGTGCTGTACGAAGATGATGTGGCATGCGAAGTTGATGTTGATGTGCTGCTGCTGGATGTCGAGGTAGAAGATGCACTGGATGTTGACGTGCTGCTGGCGGATGTCGATGTGGTACGTGACGCTGAAGTTGAACTTACTGTTGATGAGGAGAGCATCTCGACAGAAACCTGTCGGTCCAGGGGCACTTGCAAAGTCGTGCTCTGCTGGTGCAGAGGGGAGGGACCATGTTGATGTTGTCTGACTCCATGTAGAGTCCATAGAAGTTCCACTGGACAGGGTCCCTTTCGACGAAATTGCTGCTTGTTACCCAAGTCCAGCTTGACAGGGACACTGGGTTCGACAGTCGAATGTGCAGGCCACCGGACACATGTATGCTGGACTCAAGCCACTGAGTGGAGACATCTCCATCTACAGCTTTGCCTGGCTCCTCGCCCGACGGGCTGCTCCCCTGCCCCCAGGACCAAGCCTGTGCCCCTAAGGCCACCAAGTCCAGTTCTGCAGGTGGCGAGCGAACATCCCAGAATTGGATCTCTGAGACTTGGACCTGGTCTCCGTTACGCACTGCTGTTATCTCCAAAAAGAAATCCTGGAACTGCGCAGCCAGTGGCAAGTTCAATATCGAATGCTGACGGATGTCAGGCACATTGGCCGGGTTTGAGTTTTTGTAAACCAGCACCCATGTCACAGCGTCTTGCGACAGCAGAAGCTCAAACATCACTGGATCTCTTTCATGACGCTCCTCTGCCAAGAGGATTCCGCAATACCGGATTGCAGTGTAAGGTGTAGGCAAGCTGATGATCAAGTCTTGCTTGTTGTAGTCTAGCCATCTCGTACCTGACTTGTCGATGGCAAAGGACGGAGGATGATCACCGCCGTGGTTGTCACCAGAAGGATTAGTGGCTGTGGCAAACGAGAGATCCACCTGATTCTGATCCGGGCCTTGCAAGTAAATTTCAGCGAGCTGCACGGAATCTGCGTTCGCTTGCCGTGTTTCCAGGGTGCGAAATATCGCATGTTGTGCGAAGTATGTGAACTCTGCCAGGCCTGTGCGCAAACCCAGCATCGAAGCCATCACCCTCAGAACCACGAAGCGCATGGCGAAGTGAAGCGTAGCGGACTCTAAGGGGCCGTTGGCGACCGTGACCACGGGGTATGCTCCCAGACAGGACATTCACTGAAAACTGAGATGCTCGTTGTCCACTCAGTTGTATGCATGCTCCTTCCCTGTTGCTGTGCGGCGCAGTCCTAGTATAGGGTTTGAGCCTCGGACGACGAGCCAAACAAGCTTCGCGTTTCTATGTATGCGGACCGGACCGGTGCAGGTCGGTCCCATATGAAGAGCCCACGCAACACCAAAGGAAGCTCGGATGCTCTAGTTTGAATCGCGCCAAGCTGAACATGAACACACCCTTCTGCCCCCAAAGTCTCCGGGGTATAGCTTATAAGGCTTCAGGTTGGTACTGTCTTCGTAGTGGTATAAGTAAAGTCCAGATACTCCGGAGGCCGAGTGATATATTCGTCCTGCACTATGTAGTATGTTGCATTGTTTTTTGGTTCGTTGCCCTCAGTCCACGGTTGTCTTCACGTTTGTGTTTGGCGATTTACGTAAAGCCTGACAAAATGCACCTCTCTGGTTCAAGCAGATGCATGCCAAAACTAAACGTTCTTCTTCGCTGGGTTTCTTGCCGTCGGCAATGCCAGAAGCTGCTCATGCCTTCGCATTGACCTTCTATAACTATAACTTAAGAGATGTATTGCCATACCCATCCCCAACCCTCCTGCCTGCTTGGCGAGGAGCCAGGCAATGACCTCGAAAAACTCGCTGGCTCAGGGGTTTGGTGGAGGCAGCAAATAAGTTGTCGCCAGATCCTCTCACAACACCAGACCCCCATACCATGAATACCGCCAATATTCTGATCGCTCTGTTCCTCCCAAACACGAATTCCTGTCACTCTAAGTCCTAGACCCCGTCACCCGAGCCCCTGAACCATTTCGGCCCACTTAGATGTTGCATGTCCCCGGCCTCCGGATGACCTCCAAGCGAGGCGAGGTAGAGCGCTGTGGATCCACCCACCATCTCCTGTCCCGTTTCAGGAGTCCGAGCACAAGGGAAAGCATCATGTCTGGTGCTGCTTGGGCCCTTTCAACATCAGTGGAGCGCAGCAGGGAAACCGCGCTGAAAGACTGGAGAGCAACGGGACGAGAGTGAGTGTAGGGTTCTGGTTTTGCAGACTGCACCATGATTTTCCATACCATCACCGGCTCATACCGATGGTTGAGAGTTGAGTCATTGAGGCTTGACGGTGCGCTCCGTCCAGAAGTTCTTTTCTAAGTGATGGCTGGCATACAGAGCAGACCTAGCGGCTTCAGGCTTGCTGTAGCACAAGTAGCGGTAACGCTGAATTGAGAATACTTTCTGCCCCAACCGGGGAACTATAAAGGACCTGTCCTTGTGCACATCTGCACGGCCGGCCAGCAACCAAGCCACTGCTTCTGTATGCCCACTCTGCGCGGCAACATGGAGGGCTGTTCCACCACTGCGCGTGGTTTCGTTGACATCGGAGCGTGCAACGAGCAGTCGCGCCACAGACTCGGAATGACCATGTAGAGATGCATAGTGCAACGATGTCGCACCATTCTCAGCTGTCACATTCACGGAAGCACCCTGAGCCAGCAAGCGAACGATAACCTCGATGTGACCGCTTTGCGCAGCCATGAACAGAGGGGTGATGCCACCTTCCATCACCGCGTCAACTTCTGCACTGCCTGCAAGAAGCCAGGCTACGGCTTCTGTGTGGCCGTTCTGTGCCGCGACGTGCAAGGCGGTACCACCTCCATCCACAGGTAGGTTTACGGCAGCTCCGCCTGCAAGAAGGCGAGCAACGGCATCAGCATGTTGGCCTTGGGCGGCTATGTACAAGGCTGTTGTCCCACCCGGTGCCAGCTGATTCACGTCAGCAGCACTTGCCAGCAGTCTCGCGATGACCTCTGCATGACCATTGTGTGCTGCCATGTGCAGGGGTGCCACTCCACCAAGCGTGGTCCGGTTCACATTCGCCCCGCTTGCGATGAGGCGTTGCACATCCACAGCATTGCCAGCCGCGGAAGCTGCATGCAGTGAGCCTCGAACACCTTCAGGCCGAATGCGATGGTAGGTTTGTTCGCCTGAGATATGCTCGGCACCGCCCCTACCCGGCCTATCCGCCACCGAGCCCGAGCCCATGTAACATCTGCAACAAGCATGGAAAAAGGCTGGGGCGCATACTCGCCGATCCTAGCCTGCTGCAGCGAAGCATCCCGAATCAGGGTTCACTTCGAAGATCCCCTCTTCCAGGAGAGATGTGCTGCAAATTGGGCAGGAAGCTTTCACCCGAAACCAGGTCCTCGGTAGGTGTGCTTTCGTGGCGCCTTGCACTATCTATTCCATGCGTATGATCCGAGCTTCCGGATACATTCCCAGTGGAAGGTATGGACACATCCGGTTTCGGGAGCAGCTTGCGAGCGCCGCTCGGAGGGAAGGATTTCCTCCAGGCAGACGGCGCAGGTCACCTGCCAAGTGTGGCGCAAAATGCGTGGTATCTGGCATGTGGCCCACGGGACTCGATGCGCGAGCACTTGGCGTGGACTGCAACCGTGTTTGCGGGTTGGGTTTGTGCGCGATCTCACTTTGGCCAATTCCCATGCATTCGATCTTGCTGACTGTCCTGATTGCTGACTATGCTAAGCAGTTGCGCCCACACTGGAACAAAGGGTTCTGTCGACGTGTGTGTTTACAGACACACGCGAAGCGTCGTTTCATAGCAGAGCTATTGTAAACTGGCTGCTTTGTCACAGCTACTGCAAGCTAGTGCACACTGCAATCATGTATCTTGGAGAGGTCACACGGCAGGGCTTGTTTGGTCCTCCCCAGGCACTGGCATCCTACCCTCTACTACCCCGCACGAGTCCTCACTCATCGCATCCGGCTGTCATTGGTGGAAGCAAAAGGCGATGCGCAGAGTCGGTGTCTAAAGCACAGGGCTCGCCATGCCGCCTGTCTGATGTATCCTGATTTACGTCTGTAGAAGGACCTCAGAACTTGAGGAACAGGTAATGTTGCTCGTCTAAACTGTGCTGTTCTGCAAAGGGCCCTCGCGGGCCTTGAGCATTGAGTGCCAGATGCCGCAGGAAGCTGAATGTTCAAACCAGGCACAAGAAGTGACGAATAAACCACTCAGCTGAGGCCACTTACTTACCGAGATCACATCTGCGGTGATCTGGAGCTGCCGCATCCTCAGTGGGATCGGGCTTTTGGAGGTTTCGTTGCTTCCATCTGCTGGGCGCACCTAGGCCATTCAGCCCAAGCTACGGAGTATCAAACTATGCCTAGCTTCTTATCAGGATTTACAAAATGTCAACTCTTGAACCCTCCTAAGCCCTAAACCCTGAAACCCTTAAACCCTAAACCCTTAAACCCTAAACCCTTGGGCCTTGAGCTCCCTGGGAAATGTTTAGCCGAGCTCGGGGCGCTGAGAGCAGGCGCAGCGTCGTGGCCCAACCTGGGGTCGAGCACGGCTCTCTAAAAAAGGCGCCCCCGGGGCATACCTATGGTTTGGGGTTAAGGGTTAAGGGTTAAGGGCTTAGGGCCTAGAGTGTCGGGTTGCTGATGTTTTAGGGTTTTTTGTTTGCACCTCCTTCCGATGTTTAGGGATTTTTGTTCACACCTCTTTCCGTTGTTTAGGGTTTAGGGTTTATCGGGCTGGAAAGCAGAATCTTATAGGGTCATGGTGCTGGCGCTGGGGGTCTTGTGCTAGCCTACGGCCCTGACAGGCGCGACCACAAAGCCCGACGCAAATGCCAAGCCCATGAGCCGTCCAAAGCGAAGTGGCCCTCACCAACTCTTACATAGTACTGGTTAGGGTTTAGGGTTTAGGGTACCAGAAAATCATGCCAATACTGATGCTGATAGTAGTTCTCATACTCATACCAATACTAATACAAAATCAATACATATTCTAACACTACCAAACCGAGGTCGGGGTGTGAACCCCCTGGTTTTTAATTCGAGTGGTCTGGTCAGCTTGAGTGCAGGGCTGCCATGTGCTGCTTTCTACTGTCTCGACGTTCTTTACCGGAAGGAAGTCACAAAGTATCTCGGCTCATCCCGACAATACCCCAAACCCTTCCACTAGCCATCCCGCAACCTTCATCCAAAGCCACATCATGAAACCCCTCGCCTGCAGCCCGGCTCAAACCTCACTAGACCCAAACCCATAAACTTGTGTCTCCAAGTAACTGAACTCTACGGCATTTCAAACCCGAAGCCCTTACACTTGAGTTCCGGCTTACTGTGCCAAGCTACCATCTTAGAAGCAAAAACGGGCCTTTCGAACTCCGCCCGGCTCCCAGAGCTGCATTGAAGCCCATCGTTTCCGCCTCGATTGATTCTTTATGTTGAGGGTTTCAGGGTTTGGGGGTTGTCTCTTGATTCTGTGGTGGTCTTATGAAGGTTCGAGACGGGTTTTCCTCGGTTCTGCGATGGAGTTCTGCAGGTTCGACATGGGCTCTACTGCAGGGCTTTTTGGGCACCGGGGCTTTTGCGTGTCTGAGCCGTCGTTACTTTTATTGCCTCTTTCAGCTCTCAGCTTTTGCGCCAGACCTCTCTAAAGGGTTTAGGGTTTAAGGTTCAGGGTTTAAGGTTTATAGGGTTTAGGGTTTAAGGAAGTTCCTGAAGCTGCCACAGAAACACCCAGTCACTACTCGCCACTCAACCCTCGAAGCATTCGGTGACAGGTAGTATTATTAGGGGTACCCCTTAAAGGGTAGACCCCTTCTGAACCCTACTTTTGGCTCTCTTAAAAGGGACCTTATTGAGAGGGTCTATATCCCCAAGGGTCCCCCTAATCCTAGCTCCCAGGTGACCTCCAAGAGGCGTCCTCTCATGGCCCCAAGCATCTCCAAAGCCTCAAGATCGGGGTCAAGTCAGGTCTGGCGTCTCTGTTCGGTTTAATTAGGGTTTAGGGCTTAGGGTTTAAAGGGTTTAGGGTTTAGGGTTTAGGGTTCAGGGTTCAGGGTTTCAGGTCTCTCGTCGCCTTTTGGCGGTCCGCGCCTCTTAGTTCGAAGTACAAGCGCACTCGGACAGGACATGATGCGAATCGGGGCCTGGCCAAAGCAGACCCACATGAAGGCTCAGCGACTTTGCCGCGCTCCACGCTCTTGCATCGTTCCTACTAGCATTCACCAGGCCGGTCGTCCTTTCCGCGGGCCCTATGGGATCAAAGAGATTCGAGCCGAAGAGATCCAAAAAGGGGACCTTTTCTGCACGCATTATGGGAGTCCCTTTGCTCAACATTCGAGTGATCCTTCTGTAGGCGTTTAGAAGTTCCAAGTTGCCAGGCACATAAAGCTCGGAGGTCTAGCAAAACATCATACAATGAAACCAGAGAAGATTAGATAGGTACGATTCAAGCTTCATGTGACTAGAACAGGAATACAACAGAATATCGCAGAATCTCCGGAACCCTACAAGTGTAGGGGTGCACTGGGCTTCGGCACTCCTCAGCGCTCGGCTCTCTAAGTCTGCGTAGGCTTCCGACACCACGCCAGAGGCCAGCCCGATCGTGAGAGCTGACGAGGGCATTGAAAGAGAAAGCATCGGGCCTCTGCAGGGCTCTCGTAAGAGTCACAGAAGCTTAGGGCCAGGGTAATCAAGGGCTCCCTGAAGGGCTTCGGCTCTGTGCAAGAAGACTTCCTGGGGCTTATGAGGAGGGAAGCGATCCTGTGAGCAGTTTCTGGCGAAATGCACTGTCACTCTCCCGAGGCGTTTGCGTGCTCCCAGCATCACACAGCGAGGCAAGGACACCTCAACGCACATGACTTCTGGTCTCAGGGCTTCTGAAAGGAGGGGTTACACCGGACTTCGGGGCTGCCATGCCCCTTGTATGAATGTTCCGCCGAAAGATAACTGCCTCCTGCCAGGTCCTGATACACATTGATGCACGATGGGCTGTTTCTGCTCCTCGACTGCGGCAGATCTGACAAAGCTGAGTTTCTGCATCCGCGCAGAAGGCATAGATGCGAAAATTCTTCCGCGCGAGCTGAGGCTGTAAGGCTAACTTTAACTGTACCACTGCCAGCTTGTCGCAAGCAGTGTGCTGCAAAGAAATCAGGCACATGCCTGTCGATTGACGGGAACTTGTCGAGGCCATCAAATGGGTCTCCGGTACACCACGCGAAGTTTGTAAAGCCAGTTACTCGTAACAGTTCAAGGAATACTGCAGCTTTGGCTGGTTCTGCTGCCTCAAGCCCGTCGTATCGGCACAACCATTCGTGGAAATGCTCCACACAGTGGGTCTGCCAACTGTGGCCAAAACCATCACACGAACTGTAGTCCTTCCATGCAGCCCCATGTCCTGTGTCGTGGTTGTCAGACACACTGCTGTCTACTGCACCGCCTTTGTGCGCACTGCAATCTGCAAAGCATGAATTATGCCTTGTCATAGATCAGGTTCCCATCCTCGGCACAGAACATGTCTTGCACATATACACAGGCTGAACAGATTACCTTCAATCACGTGTTAGTCCTTGCACGGAAGCACCAGCAGATTGACATCATCCTGGGGGGCTGGGGGTCCCTCTGTGTGAACCCGAAAATGAGCCATCTCGCCTCCTCCAATGGATTTGGGCTCTNNCGCAAGCTCCTCCCCTTCCCGCTCTTCGTCCGCTCCGCCAACGGCGCCCAGCAGCTCGTTGGCCCTCTTTGTTTGCGGTCGGGCCGAGGCGTACGACTCGAAGCGTTTAAATTACCTTCAATCACGTGTTAGTCCTTGCATGGAAGCACCAGCAGATTGACATGAAACCATCTCCATGGTATCATAATACGCAGGAAAGACCCCCTCTTGCTCAGTGGGCGTCACTCAGCGCAAAAGGCAACATGCAGTCTGGCATGCGGGGATGACAACAGAGTTCGGTGCCCGCTCGCAGAAACATGAAGCCCAACACGCAGCAGGTCAAAAATCGAACATGATTCCAGAAATGCCCAGCAAGCGCAGCAAAGTCAGCAGAGTTGTAGAGCCTTCACTGGCTTTAACAGCACGAGGCACATAAAAGTCCACCTTCCTGGACGTGCCCAAAAACAAAGCGAAAACACGCTCTTTCGTCCGAGTCCTGCAGGCTACCACAGCTGTACATGCGGCAGGCGGCTCTGTCCACAGGGAAGCTTCTCTTGAGGACAACAGCGGCGGGTTCGGGATTTCTGCACACCCAAGATCCCGAACCCTCGTCACTATGACCCAAAACGGGTGAAAGCTTCGGAAATTTCCCAATCGGCGAGCTGCAGTAGCAGGAATGCCATTTTGAAAGGGTGAAGAGTGGGCTTGATGCCTTCGGCCTGCAAAGCCATGGCAAATGGACCTCTCCGGGTGTGCAGACGCTGATGGATTCGATTGGAGTATATTGCGGAAGGTGAGCACTCACCGACAATTGCTCATGCTTACAGTTGTAGGCGTGGGTCATGTAGTCTTTAAGATGCACACCGCTCAATCCATGGCACGGACAGTAAGGCCTTCTTGGGATACGTCGCGAGCCCTCGCTTGACGGGAGGACTCAAAGCGCTGCCGCATGTAGGAGATTCCGCCGGTGAGAAACTGCTCGATATTGAGCTGGATGTGCTTGGGCAGCATACCGAGGTTCCTTCGAACCATCACTCGGGCCTTGTCGGAATAGTTGACACAAACGCGGTCGGTGCAGGACAGCCCCGGAGGTGCCCGGTCCCAGAGCACGAAGAAGGCAACAACGAGCCTTCGGCCCCTCGGACTCGAGGAAGTGCAGGCTGTACGAAGAGCAGTCATGCGATGGTATACCTTGCCGTTGTCAAAGGCTATGGCCGTGCCTGCTTGCACATCGATGGTCTTCGACTTGGGGTACTGTGACCCGCAGCCACCAGTCAGCACGGCGGTGATCTCAAGGTCGCCACCTGCCAGCCCATCATCGACGAGGGGGTAGTAAAGGCCAACCATCTGAATCCGATCTCGTGGGATTCCTTCGCGATGCAACTCGCCGAGAATCTCCTGGCCGCTGCCCACCTCATACACCTGGGCCTTGATCAGAACCTTGGATCGTGCATCCAGTGGCTGGTGCACAAGTGCAGCACCAGGAGTTCCATCTTCCGGAGCCAACTGCGCAAAGAGCGGCCGCATGGCCGTCAGCAGCTCGCCCAGGCGCTGGTACAACGGATTAGACAATGTGCGTGGCCCTGTCCAGGGGATCCCGCTCACCTCGCTGGCAAGCCGAAGCCCCTCTCCAGGACCTGGCTCTAGCGCAGTAGGAATCCAGCGAGGTGCGCCGGCAGAGGGGGGGTTCGGGCGCCGACTCCATGCGATACTCGGAATGTTCCAGCCAGATGCCACAGCCTCCTGCCTTGGCTTCTCGGTCTCTGCTGGGAAAAACGTCTCTTCGCTGAACATGGGGTCGATGCTGGCGCGGCTCGGGTCGATGATGTCTAGGATCCGACCGCCGATGCATCTGATCTCCTCCAGCGAGAACTGGAAGTATGCTACGTCGGAACGCTGGCTATCAATGCTGCCAGACTCATAGGCTAACTGCACCGAGGTTGTAGCAGAGGCAATCCGAACAAACTCTTCGAGCTTCGTCTCCTGCAGCTTCTTCTCAAGCTTGCAGGACTGGAGGGCTTGCTTCAGGGCGTCCGCACTCTCTGCACTTTCTGTGCGGATGGTGACCCGAAGCCGGCTGGGCTCTCTGATTTGGACCGTCGTCCTCTCCCAGTGAATGTGGCAGGCCTCCCGCAGCACCCCATTATGGGCAAGGATGCCGATCAGGGCGTCATTCAAAGCCAACGGCTCGAGCACCATGTCCTGCACGCGGCCCTGCACGAACTTGAAGGCCAAAGCGAGCTGGAGGACGCCACAGCCTGGATGCTCCTGAATCTTCAAAGTCGCCGCAGCCTCCGGCGCCTTCAGGCCAACAAACCTCAGGTCGCGGACGTCATCCTGTTTTCGGGGGTCTGCTGCTAGGCCCAAAAGCAAACGCCCCAAGTCTTCCTGGCACCCAGCTGGAAGGGCCAGCTTTGGGATAAAGGCCGCCACGGTTTCTGTCTGCTCCAACTTGGTCTGTGGCCTCTGCTGGATTTCTGCAAATTCTTCGGGCCAGACTAAGTCGGAGACCTTGCGGAACGCAGTAAGACCCACCTTCCGGAGCACGCGGACCTCATCGGAGCTTGCCGCTGAGCTTGCCGAACCTTGGCAGCCTCTGACAAGCTTCTCCATCTCGCTGAACAGGTCTCTGAAGTCCGGCATCTCTGCCTTTGAACCTTTTTACACAGGCTCGATTGGAGCTCCCGGCCAGGAAACTTGAGCCGTAACTAGGGGACAAAAAGATACCAATTGCACAACTATGCCAAAAGGAACGCTCCTATATTGCTGACACTCCGGCTGCTGGAAGCTCCATCCCACAATCGCCCATGATGGTCTTATGCTTATTCGGAAATTTTCATCCGGCTTCTGTAGTCCGAAAGGGCGGGAGCACGTGTCGAAACCGAAGTATACTTATAATAAGGAGCCCCCAAAAGAATATTGGTAATTATTTAAGCTTCGATATGATCTCGCAGGTTTAGGGTTTAGGGCCATGAGGAATGACCAAGATGGAGTGGATAAGACCGACGACAGGAATGCTCCGCCCCGAGCACGAAAAAATTGAAACGTGTGTGCAGTTGTGGCACCCGATCGACGTCGATCTTCACCTTAGCCCAGGAATTCATCAGTACTCAAGGTCCTATATATGGCAAGAATCCTCTATTGCAAAGGCCGGGGATCTCCCGAGAGAACTTGTGCTTCCGCGCTCTGCGATAAAACTTACCAGCGCTCAAGAAGATCTTGCAGCTGAGTATTCTCGAGCTACTGGGATATAGCGTGGAAGGCTTTTCCGGTCTTCTGTGTGTTTTTTTTTGGAGTTCTGTGGGCGCTAACGAAAATGGAGGCTCCATGAAAACTCCAAATGCCTCCTACACACCTACCATCACCTACCCATAGGCTCCATTGTAGTTTCTTTTGGGGGTTACCTTATACAGGATCTTAAATATATGAACCACAAAAAGGAACCCTAAGCCCTAAACCCAATAGATCCTAGGAAAAAAGGAACTACCTATAGGCTCCATTGTAGTTCCTTTTGTTGGTTTAACCAATTATATATTAAGGATTTTACAAGGTATCCCCAAAAAGGAACTACAATGGAGACTAGATGTGCTATGGAGCCTATGGGTACCCAAGGGCTCCTATGTAGTTCCTTTTTGGATATTATACTATAATTCCTTACCAAAAAACTATGAAAGACCCAAAAAGGAACTACATTGGAGCCCCAGGGAAACCAGAAACCTGGCTCCTCAACGTTAAACCACTAACATGATTTTACAAGGTATCCCCAAAAAGGAACTACAATGGAGACTAGATGTACTATGGAGCCTATGGGAACGATGGTTCCCTCTGCTTCCAAGCGGCCGTGTCTCCGTCCTCAAATTCGCCTCGCAGGCCTCGCTGCGCGAGTGGCGTCTCCACGTTTGCGACGATGGAGCGCTTGATCGGCCTCCACGCACCCGCAAATCCCATAGTAAACTGTTACAGTAGAGTACTGTTATAGATGACATATTACAGTAGATTATTTCTCGTATTTTCTATGAAGTGGATCCTAGAGAGCAGAGGAGCAATCATGAAAATACCTAGCTCTTGCTACTACATTTCAAGCATAAAGTGGTCATGCGGCAAGAACAGGCATAACCAGTAGACGACTTATTAGTCGAATCACTCCGAGGTTGTCGAAGCGCCCAAACTGCTGCAGAAGTGCAATCTGATA